GCTTCTGTGGGGTTAATCTGTGCTCCGGAGATTTGACACCAATCTGCTTTGCGCCCCAGTTCCTTCTGAAGTTCTATGATTCTGCTTCTGTTCTTGCCTTGGCGGTACACTAGTATGTCCTCAGCATATAAGAGTGTTCTTCCTTCACCTGTGATTTCATATTTTGTCACCTCAGTAGTGAAAGTATTCAAGAGGACTGAGGACAAAGGTGATCCCTGGGGCAATTCTTGGTACTTGGTTTTGAACTCAAGAGATCCATCTTCCACATTTAAAAACAACCTGTCTCTTGAAGCTGCTGCTATGCAGTCAATGAGCGTCTTTACTAGCCAGCATTTGTCCACTTCCATCACAGTGGTTATGATCGAGGCTTCTTGAATTAGATGAATTTAGCAGCTGTACGTCTGATTCTGCTAGTGATGTCACTGCCATATTAACTAATACCAATCAAAGAGGAGAGAAAGGAACCTCGCCAACCAATACATGTGTACAATTAACCCATCTTTATCAACAAACAAAATAAGAATCCTGCATCACACAAAAATGAAAACATTGAAAGAAATGAGAATGCAAAGAAGAAAAAAGTTTGGGGGGGGGGGGGGGGGGTGTGTGTGTGTGAAAAATAACCAAAAAAGCAACTCTAAAGGGAAATAAATGAATGTAAAACGACAAAGAACATCATAGGCAGAAAAGCATCAGGCATGGAGATCATTTGTCAATGCTTTATGTGCCAAGGTTATGAAGAGAATATAGATAGAACAAAAAAGCAAACCAAAGTTGTTCTGTGTTAGATGAAAGGAAACACACAATGAAGGACTGGTTTGTGTGGTCTAAGGAACAAGATGTTATGGCAGTGACAGAATATTCGATAACCAGTGCTTTCTGTTATTTCTGCATCCCACTGGCATTCTTCAACATTACCCACCGATCATGAAAATTTTAAAACAAATTCCAAATCAGAGAATGCAACAAATCTGTTTATTTGTCAACTGTTTTAACACAAACAATGCACAAGTCTAATTTTAAACCTCAAAAACTGCATTTTTATATCACAGATTTTAAACCAAGCCTGGTCTTACAAAAGAATGCTACAACAACTGTCTCTTCCTTAACCAAGCTTGTTCTTACAAAAAAATGCTACAAAAACTGGTCTTCCTTCAAACAATAATACTGTGACTTGACAGGCAACCCTGGAGCCATGGAAGTGCAGCAGCTACCAGTTACCTATATGTATGGTGATTTTGTGGATGAACAGCACATACAGTAGGGACTCACACTATCTCACTTGGCTGCCAATAATGAGTAGCAGGGAATGTTTGGGGAAGTAAAGGTGGTTGTTGTGATAATATAACTTTTCATCAGTTAGACCAGCCTAAACATATATACGGATAACGTGATATAATGATAAACATCTCAATGCTAGGGGAAAAAAGGACCTTTTTACATCAAATGCTACCATAACACAGAAACATGACAACAGAGTACAACTTGCCATCAACTAAAATGCAAGACTACTGAGTAAAACTTGAAATAAAACACATATGTCATATCTGTATACAAAAATATTAAAGAAAGAAACAATTCGCCCAACTATAGCAATACATGTATTGGGAAAGAACCAGGAAAGAAATAATTTTAAAAACTGTTAGAATGGCATTTTGGAAGTGTTTCATTAAATTTAGTTGCACACCCATTAAGCAAATTTTTTTTTGTTCAGCAGTTTACGACTGTTTTCTGACCTTTGGCTCCTGATAAACTCTGCTGTACCAGTAAGTTCCTGTTCTTCACAGGTCAACAGAATTAACTACTGTAATTCTGCAGCGCAACCAAAACAATTACTAATAAACTATAAAAATACATTATCTGGTGACTGCAGTAAAGCACCAGGATGGATTTAAAATTAAATTTCTGTGAATCAAGAGGTAAGGAATCTGATGCTGGTATCTTAAAGTATACACTGAAAAAACCTGAGAACAATATAGCTAGAATGTCTTTGTACTGGTACCCAGCGGAAGATCTAGGAATAAATGCAAATAGCAAAACATGAAAAAGTGAAGTAGAGAGCAAAGCAGAAAAGACAGAAAGGACGATGATGGCATGAGTTGGCCGAGGGTCTATGCTCCACTGGAGAATAAAGGGTAAAAGTAAAAGAAGTATATTATGTAGAGAATTTAAATAATATATCGTAGTACAGTAAGAAGAGCAATAGCAGAGGACAGCCCGTACATTAATCACATGACAGACCAATCTAGAGAAACAGTGTCAACCGGTGGCCTATATAGGGAATCTGGCCCATGGATTACTGCCATATTGGTCATCTTTTTACGCTAGGACTCAGGCCTCTGGTTGGCATCGATCCCTTTTCAACCCCCCCCCCCCCCCCCCCCAGTAAACTTAGCTGAATAGCCCTGGTGTAAAGTGTCAGGGACCAGACAACATCATCGGTTACTCTACCTCTGCTGAATCAGTTTCACATCAAAGGCATGCTGCAGTCATGTCTTCAGACTTACTGCCGTAGACAGACTATGTGACCATGGAGACAACTCTATCCAAACCCCTTCCATTACATTAAACAGATCTGTTAAGTAATAGACAAACAAGAACATGCACAGGGCAATCAACATAGATCTAAAGCTGTAGTGTCACTTGGAAAGCCAACAGATAAACGGTGAAAGGAGACAGACATAGATAAGACGATTGCATTTAACCAAGAATTACAATTCCAAAATAGTAACGGATCTATGGTCCAAGGCCAGCCTTGTGAAAAATGGGCGTAAACATAGATGACATTAAACAGACGTGTAATTACTACACACAGGAAAGTGCACATGTGAATCGACACACATCTAAACCTACTAGGGCACTCTTAAGGCCAACTCTAAACAGAAGTAAAGAATAGTATCATTAACATACTATGCTTGCATGTGTATGTGTGTATGGGGCTGGGGGGGATGTAAAATCTTGATCCTGAACAAGCCTACAATATGGTTGGCATGACTAGGCCCCCAAAAAAAGGCATCAGTAGAACGACATATATAAACAGAATTACAGATCCACAGACAGAAAAGGTGTACAAAAATAAATGTAGGTACATAAGTCAAATGTAAGTTGCCTGAACAAAAAATACTTATAGTTTTACACTATACTAACAGGATTACCATAAACATACCTCAATGTCATTTTACACTAAACAAATCTTTCTATGTCGTTTACACTAGCTAAGTTCACAGTTGTTCTATACATTAAATCTGCTGTATTACTTTATGTCACTTTCCTAAAGTGATCAGTGCCGCCACAGAGGATGAGGGTGTGCATGAGGTAACAGCATAACTGTAGCAGCCACTAGTGCAATTTTGTATTATTCGAAAGAGTTGAGACACTGTGTGTAACATTGTGAAAAGCCATTCAGGGTCGTTTCATCTACTGAATGACATAAATATATGCACTGATCACTTACATTCTCCAGATACATGTTATAAAATTAAATTTTAACTGACCAGTGCTTTTTTCTGGTAGTTACTACATACTACTACTTAGGCATCCCGATGTGTATCGGGCCTCAAATGAGGAAGAAAATAACAGACCCAGTGCCTCAAACAAGTCGACTAATTAGGAGTGTACCCTTCAAAGTCGAAGTGAATTTCCTTGGGAGGCAAGTAATCAAACTCTACACACAAATGAACCAGAACTGTAAAACAGATGTGCACGCAAAAACTCAAGTTCTGGAACAAGGTCAAGGTCCCGAAGTGCACAAACAACCAGAACATTTGTGCTGGGGTTTACAAATAATGAACACGAATAAGATCTGCAAAACACCAGGAATGAAAACGTAGAACAAACAGTGAACAGTTTTTCACATCTACTGAAGCGTCTATACTAACTGGTAAATAATGTGTATGTCAATAATACTATGACTAATCAGTTCTTTAAAATTTATCTTCTGGCCAAGAACTAATTCTGCTATCTGTAAGTGAGATAACACACTCTAGGCGACATAAGCCAGTAATGAATCAAAAATATTCCTTTGAGTAATAATACTAAAAAACAAATAGATCAAGATGTTGAAAGCTCTTTCTGAGTAATTAAAAACACCTGAATTCTATCTACAGATTAAAGAGTTATTACTCGGCCAAGAAATGAAGCCTTATTACTAGCAACTGATATTGTTCCGCTGCAACCGCCAGTGGTTCTTACCATGCCGGTTTGTTTACATGAACAGGGCCACAGTGTCATCTTTTTACATACCTCACCACTGTCCTAGCTAACCAAGTCATCTCTGATTTACATTAAATGAGCTCACTATGTCACCATCGATTTACATGTCAATTCACACCACCATAGCTCACTATATTACCACCAACTTGCATGGCACTGTTAAATTAAGCTCACCATGACCACGCATACCACCAACCTGCCTGACTCATCTGAGTTACACTAACCTGAGTCCTCATACATTAGGGTTCATAATCAGACAAATCACGGTGTAGCATTACGAGAATTTATAATACACCAAAAGCAACTTGCAATGTCATATGACATGAATACGGATCAGAAATGGTTAACAATAACATGGTCCAAGCATTACTTTCAGTTAACATTCAGCCCACTTTAACAAAAGCTCAGTTATATAAACATGATCTACAATGCTCACATCTGTTAACCCCTCCCCCACCCTTTTTTTGAGGTTCAGTGCCCCATTTTGGGGGTGGGGGTAGTAGACCAACTGCTCCTAACAAGCATATTGTAAAAGGCGTATTATAAGGAAAATGCTAAAAGAGACGAAGTGCAGATATAGCTGTGAACCAACACAGCATCCCAGCTACTCTTAAGAGCAACCACAGAAGAAGAAATCTGTTAACACACGAACTTTCACCCATAATTAATAAAAGCAAGAAAATGCACTGAAGGGATATTGCAACCAATCAGCTGTACAAATATAATTAATACAAGCACAAGGAAATGTTTTTTTTAAAAAAACGCAATACTAATAAATCCAAGTAAATTTAGTAATCCTCAATAGAAAAAAGCTGTTTTGATATACGTTTCCTTGCACTTGTTCTTGGAGAAAGAGCGTTACCTTCTGTCAATCTACCATCCCTCAGACTATATATTTTTGCCCCTGCAGGTACTTCAGAGAGCTGGTGTGTCTGTGTGTAATCCCGAGTCACTAAGTCAGAAATAGCTTCCGATGAGTGTTTATGGCTGCTACTTGCTGAGGGGGTAGAGGTAGGCGAAAACTTGTGTCTTTTAGCTAAAGAATCGGGGTTTTCATCACATTCTACATGGCAGGAAGATGAAGACAACTGAGATGACAACTTCCTTTTTCTTTTGTGGTCCGTAAATTGTAAAGGCTGATCTAAATGTAACAGCGAAGATGATGATGATTTTGGCAAAATACAAATATTCTGGTTACGATATTCACTGTATGTTCCATCATCTACACCATTAGAAGAACCAACACTTTTCTGCAGACGCTGAAACTTCCGCCACAGGTGCTGCTCCTGCTTTGACATTTTGTCCATACTGTTCAGAGGCACCAGAATCCGTGGAGTTGCCTCAGCAGCTAGCAATCCACTATCACTGGGAACGTGATGATGCCTCATAAAATGAGACACTGACAGATGCTGGCTGCAGGTTGCACAACGGACACACTCAGATTCTGGCCTGACAAACAAGTCCACATATAGGTTTGCCGTTTGTGGTGGCAGCTGTGGTTCTACACCATTCTCAGACAAAACAGACTGATGCTTCACGGGCAGTGATGGCAATGGTCTACCCGGTGCAGCTGACGTGGCAGAAGATGATAAGTCTTTTTTGTGATGTGATCCCTTCTTGTGCGTGCACTTCTTTGATTTTACTTTATACTTCACTGTTTCTGTGTCACTCTGTGGCAATCCAAGACTACTTCTTTGGTCAACCTCTAAAAATACTTTTGGTAGTTTTGTATCTATTTCACTGTTAACGTCATTTGTCCTGTGCTTTTTTCCGACTTTATGGACGTGTCTTTTTTTCCTGTTCTTCTGATGATGAATATAAGAACATATTCTACTTACGTCTCCCTTACTATACTGTTTCATTTTGGTATTTCTATGTGGTTTGATTGAAGGCTCATTACATGTTTGGCTAGAAGCTGTTTTTACAACAGATTCCAATAAGCTGGCATTTGTTGAATCTGAAGTATTATCCTTTCTTTGACCTTTTAGTATATCAAGACAATTAGAGTTCTTGTGCATTATTTGTTTGCCATAAGAAACTGATGAAACCTCACTAATATCAAACGTATTTTCGAACACATGTGGTCGCTTTCTATGGCCTTTGGACACTGACAGCCTGAAATTGGAAGAGAAAAATAACTTGTTAGGTGAAATTATGTACAGTTAAATCAAACTGGCATTAAGAGCAGAGATTTATACATCAAAAGCAGCCCATTAAAAAATACTTTAAAACTATTTTCAATACAATGTTGACAAAATCTCACTGGTTTATTGTCTATATCAAGTAGAAATGAAGTTAACAAAATATATAATACGCACTCTCCTGGTGAAACAGAAGTGAATCACTGACAGCCGGCAAATAAGAAGTTATGTGGAAGCTGTATAAGAATGAGATAAACCAGAGATATTAAAAACATCATAATGAAGATGCCTTGGAAGAAATAAGCTTACATCAAGAACTGATTACCTATATCAGGAGAGTCAATACACATTTTCACTGGGCACATTAGGAAAGGAATAATACTGGATTAGAGGCAGCAGGGAGATCTAGATAGCTGGACAGCCTGAATATATGTGTAAGAAATGACTGGCAGAATACAAGACAGAAGGCTGTGGAAAGGCAAGACAACCACTGCAAGAGGACATGGACTAAAAATATATGTTGCAACTTTGATCTTGTCCCAGAAAATGTGTGCACATCCGTTTTATACAGCTGTTATCTGTATGCAGACAATTGGTTCCTCACTTCTCAGGCAGATGCTGAGAATTTGGCAGCAAACTGCTGTGCATTGAAAGAGTCATGCATCACATGCCCAGAGCACCACAGCTGTACACACATGCCATGATTGTAACTGACTCACAGAGCGTGTTGAGAAAAGTAAAGACAGGCACGCTCTGTGAAGAGTGGCAAGCATCAATTCAGAGTTTCAAGGTAGTTAGCGCCCTTTGGATACTTTCTCCAGATTATGCCTGTGTTGAAAAATGAGCAGGCAGATAAGACTGGCCGGCTCTGCACCACGTGGGGGTGAAATTATGTATGACAAGCTAGATACTGTGAGGGCCCCTTGGAAGCGAGTGAACGGTGTGGAGGCATAGATAGATCATTACGGTCTGAGGAAAATGGTGCTGTGAGGAGTTGCAAGGGGATTTGGCAGATGCTCAACACTCAAGGGAAGGGCGAGACAGATACAATCAGACAGTTACTGGTGCCATCGGAATTGAAACTTTTTGATGGGGACGGAGTGCTTATTGGAGTGTGCCGAGTGCTATGATGTCGGTTCTTAATTCAACATTCAATTACTGGTGTGAAAGGGGGCCTGAACATTTTACATATACAAATTATGAGAAGCAGTGTACTTCGCTGGTGTGATTTTATCATCATTTTTTAAAGCAATTCTTGTATTGTCATTTCAGTCAAAATGTACTCTATCATCAATTATTTGAAAATGGCTTATTTTTAGTCTAAACGTTCAACAGACAGCACTATCACTCAGATGCAACAAAACCAAAGCTTGAGGTCGCCCACAGAGGTGACACATTGATGGTATATCTGAGGCTGTGAATATTATGTGTAGCACACACCAGGCGTTGTGAGTGCGACTTGAAATCCACTGCTAGCTGCATGGATTTTTACCATGGTATGAGGCGTCACAGGTCAACCTAGCCTAAGATGGGTACCAAGCTGAATGTCATGGGGAAGTACAGACGGTCGGCGTAATGCCGACCACATTACCCTCCTAGGGCTGGTTGGTCTGTAAAAAAATGGGTGCTCTTTCTATATGCTCAATGCGCCTAAAGGCATGAAAAGGGATCTTTACTTTTACTTACCTTAAAATGTTAAATTTTTAATTAATAATGTGGCTTAGCCTACTTTACAATATGTCTGCCATATACTTATCAAGTTTTGAATAAATGTTAAATCAGCTAAGTTGCTGGACAAGATATAATTTTTACCCACAACTGCTAAACAGTTAACTAAGAACAAAATTAATATGAAAGCAAAATAATAAACTGTGCTTGAAACAAAGTACAATATGAGGCTTATTGTACAGCCGCACTGTTCTACTGGTTTCTGGGAAGGCAAACCTAGTCATCAAATGTCTAATAAGTCTGTTAAGTCCACCAAAAGCCGCAGCAATCATGCTCACAGATACAGCACAAGTAAACAATATCATGTAAACAAAGAACCAGCTGGAAAAATTTACTGGGAATTAAAATTGGACATGAGTGTCGATAAAGTTGCAAAGTAGTCACTGTGCTATCACAAGTCAGTCTTTATATAATTTCTGCTTCTTTTCCTGTGTTCACCGTTAAAATAGTGGTCGGCACATCGTGTTGGGGTTTACAACCAGGCTGCAATCTCTGCACCTTTCAATCCAATAGACCCGATTTTAGCAAACCTTAATTAGTCTCTTGTTTACAACATGCTTCTTAAGATGCTGTGGGTCTACTCCTGTTTCCTGTTTCGGAAACCATACGGGAACAATTTCTATCTCACACTCACAGCGGAAATTGAAAAGTATGCAGTACTAAAATAAAATACACATTTTCCATTGAAAAATAAAGTGACAAATCAAAAGAAGCTGAAGCAGAGACCGGTAATGCAAACACAAATATTTAAGCAATATCTTATCTTCGCATTCATCAGCTGTAAACTCACTGTAAAGTCTTATTTGTACGCCTACTGCTGTATTGTGGTCTTGTGCGCGCTCAACCCTGTGTTCAGATAGTTGGTTTCCTCGTCTCTCAAGCAGAGGCACTCCGACTTCGAGGGAACGTCAATCCTATCTACACGGCCTGCCCCCCCCCCCCCCTGGGAACCCGTTTCTAGGATGTCTGCAAAGAGGTGTTAATAGGTCTTGATCAGTAGGAGCCTGATGCATCATCAAGTGTAGTTCAACACCTCTGCATCCACAAAATAATTACTAATAAGTGAGCATCATGTAATTAAAGCTTACCGTTGTGATGACATTTTCTTTGATCCTCTTTCATCGCTGCTATTCCTGGCTGTTTTGTGAAATAAGCCACTCCCTGGCTGAAATTTATGATCCTGGCTTATTCTGCCCGCTCGAGACTGTGGGGTGGTGTAATATGTTATCAGATCTGCTGCATGGTCTTTTGAAACAATGATGGTGCTCTTGGAGTTACAAGCTTTGCCATACTGCACTAAAAAATATCGCTGCATCTCTGTGCAGCTGAGTATGGGGATATTCATCAGCTGGCAACGCTTCTTGAGGATGCCCGTATCTTTTGCTGGCAGTATTTGCTTGTAGATGTCCACAAGGCGGATATATGGCTGGTTGTTGATCATAATGGCAGGCACATCATTGAAATATAAGGTAACAGTCACAATCCACGGAGTGTCATCGGGAACGGGAGTAGTCACTAAAGAGGATTCAGCTTGTGTGTGGTCAAAAACATCATCTTTGTATAAATAATCAATGGTTTTTTCTATGGATCTTAGCTTATCAACAGATGAAGAAGCCTGTGTTGTCCTTTCTGAACAAGGGTCAGGTTTGAATGTTTTCTTAACTGAACTACTACAGTCTCCATGTAAATTTCCCGATGGAAACACCTCCTTAGATTCTAAAATTGAGGACAAGTCATCTAGCAGAGTTCTGTCAGTAACACAGTCACTGTGAGGAGGCTGGAAACAATGATTTGCATTATTATGAACACCATGATGTAATACCTCATCTGAACTACTGATTTCTACAGAGTTCATCATGTGCAGAAACTCCTCCCCAGAACTGACATACTCAATGTTAGTGTCCTCGTACAACATTCCTTCAGTCCGTTCTGCTTGATCAGCCATGGTAATGCTATCTGACACTGAAGGTGGAAAGAAAACTGCTGTACCTGATTCTGCTCCATATGCACTGTCAGTAAATCCATTATCTTTCACCAAAGTCAGGAGGTAATTAAGGACATGTTCTGATGTGATAGTAGGATCTCCACTCATGAGCCTCAAGCTTTCAGTCAGTGCAGGCTGGTTGGGGTTTAGACTTGATGTACTGATGACAGATGGCTGATTGAGGTTTACACTTGATGATGTTATGTCTGCTGATTGGTTAAGGTTTAGATTTGATGTACTGGTGATGTCTGCTGATTGGTCGAGGTTTAGATTAGATGTACTGATGTCTGCTGATTGGTTGAAGTTTACACTTGATGCACTGGTGATTGATGGCTGGTTGAGATTTAAACTTGGTGTACTGGTGACTGACAGCAGACTGGGATTCAAAATTGATGTACCGATGATGGGCGACTGACTGAGGTTTAAAGCTGATGTACTGATGACTGGTGCTTGAGACACTGGGTATGAAACACTGTCACTTTCCATGCTGAGTATGGTACTGACAATATGGCTATCTACATCATACAGGTGTTCTGCAGAGTTGTCTGAAAAACAGGCAGACTGGAAAGGCACTGATGGTGGCGAAGCACCTACGGAGGGTTGCCGTGCTGGTTGCTTGAGGGCATCACGGCCTTTTAAACGCACTGCTTCTATATCTGCATCTGTTAAGTGAGGAATAACAATATCCTCTGGCTTTGGCACCGATGCAAGATTTTTATCAGAATTTAGTGAAGATTTCTGTCTGCCTCTGCTAGATGTCCTTGACGATTTTGATAAGTAATACACATACTGATCTTGAAACTTTCCAGTAATCTTTAGTTTCTTTTCAGTCTCTGGATTAATATCCTCTTCAGAGAGTTTATTAAACACTTTCTTTCTTTGTCTCCCTACAGGCTTTGAACTTGGCTTTGTTAGAATAGGGCCAGTAAGCTTAGGCTTATGGTTTAGAACCGGCTTTAGAGAACTATCCCTCTTTAACAATTCTTTCTTAAGATATTTGGCTTTCAATATTTTCTCAGTCATTCCATTTATTTTACTCCTTTTTGTATATGTTCTTTTCCCATTTTTAAACATGCCAGTGTTAACTGTAGGATTCAATGGTGCAAGCTTCTTTGAACCACTGTCAAACCTGACTTTTGAACAGTAGTCATGATCATGAAGCACTCCCTGCAGCAGGTTAGCCCCATTACTTGCATGATTTGAAAACTTGACTGGAACTTCTGTATCAGAGATGTCATATGGAGTCTCTGACATAGTTTCAGGTCCATCCCAGTCGAAACTAGAAGGGCTAAATACTGGCAACACACCATCTGAATTGATGGTATAGTCTGTGAGATGTGAATCTGTTGCATGTTTCTTTGACTTCAAGGAACAATTTGTGAGGTAGGAATCTGTTGCAATTTCCTTTGAATTCACGGAACAGTTTTTAAGATATGAATCTGCTGCAAGTTCCTTGCTGGGTTGCTTTTTGTTCATGCTGCTTCTGAAATTTAAGAACCTATGTTGTTCCTGACTGTTAAATTGCCGTGGGGTTCTGGCTTTAAACTGCTTATGATTTTGAGAAAGTGATGAAGGTGTGCTTGTAAATGCCTGGTCAGATGGTGGTAATGGTGACCTGCTTTTAAACTGCTTAAGGCTAAGAAAAAGCGTTGAAGGTGTGCTAGTAAACGCCTGGTCAGATGATGGCAATGGTGAGCTGGTCATCGTAAGCATATCATCACTTTCATCCCCACTGAGAATGGAGTAAGACGAACTTGAAGCCAAATCTGCAATCAAGGATGATGTTGACGATGCTGGAGACAGTGGTTTAAATCCTATATAATTTTTGCTGAACTCGGTGCAGCTATCTAGAACCTGTTCATCTATCCCCAGTTTTGGATTACTACAAGTGGCAGACTGATTACTGCAGTCTTCTGTTTTCCCAAACATAAAGTTGTCAGAACACATGTCTTGTGGCTTATACTGAAGGTCTGCATATGAGTGGTCATGAGTAATCAAATCAGCGACGAATGTATCAGTTACTTTATCATCTAGCAAATTAGCATCACTCAAAGTTGTATTTTTATGAAAATCACCAACCAACATATCTTTCAACGTCAAGGTTTGACTTTCTTTATCACCCGCTCCTATCTTCTTGTTACTAATTACAACTGAGTGCAAATTAAAAAACTCAGATTTTTTTTCAATGGCACTACCTGCTTCAATTTGAGTTTTTTCACACAAACCTTTCTGAACACCACCACTATTAAACTCCTGAAACTCCATAAGCAAATAATCGTCCCATTGAATCTCAGGAAAACTATCAGTTGCAGTCTCAAAATTACACGGCAATAAGGTTTCCAAATTCCAGGCTTTTTGTGGGGCCATTAAGTCTCTGGAAAAATCTGCTGACCTGTCTGCAGAGGTCAAACCATTGCTCGTTGTTCTACCCATATCTGAATGGACATCATCACAAAATCAACTGTTTGCTGACTTGAGTGTCACTTTTTAATTGGTATTGTGATGGCAGGCAATTGAATCTGAAGATGCTCACCAACTAAAGGAAATGATGATGAGAATGTCTGACAGATGTAGCTCCTACTCCTTGTGCTGAAGCAAACTGATATCAATAACCTTGAATCTGTATTCCAGTCATCATAGATCACAGAATACCTGCAAGAAAACTGATAAAATGAGAATACCAAAAAGACAATTTAAAATTGCTTCCTCCTGTAGATTCCGGGTCCTTATTGTAGGGAAAACAAGAACAGAACCGAAAATCATGTTGTGAGAGTTGACTAACAGGGAGCTTCCTTAGAAGTCGGAATGCATCTGTCTGAGAGGCAAGGAACCAACGATCTGCTTACAAATAGCCAACGTAAAATGGATGTGCACACAATGCAACACCTAGACTCTAGAAGTGGACGAATAACTAGAACTTTCTGTCAGAGCTTACAGCCGACGAACGTTAAAAATAAAATCTGTTGTGTCTGCCCTTAAGGGTAGCTGGCACATTTGTGTTGTGGTCTACAGTTAAGGCTACGATAGCTGTGCCTGTCAGCCCACCACATCTCATTTCAGCAAATCTTTATTTAGCTGACTTTACGACTAATTGTTAGGAAATTTGTATTTTTTTTTTAATTTTAATGTGGCGCCTAGACCCACACAGGAAAAAGTTAAAACCAATCATCAAGTGCCTTGCCAAGTGGTGTGGGCAATCATACTTCACAAAACATCAGTTCTAGTGTCTTGACACACTCTCACGCCATAATGTGCCCACTAGACCCACAGAGGGAAAATTAAAACCAATCATCAAGTGCCTTGCCCAGTGGTGTGGGCAATTATATGTCTCCACAACATGTATCAGTTCATGTGTTGACACACTTCCACACCACAACAAATGGCCAACAAGAATCTTCTACCTGTTCCTTTCCATAAATCTTTCCCCTGTTGAAGTGATCCAGTTTTTCTTTTTCATTCTAAAATGGAGTTTTAAACCCTATTCCAAACTTCCTCCAAGTATTCTTAACTTTTTTCAGGATCAAGCAAGTAATCATCATGCATATTTTCGCAGCCCCACATATTGTATATTTTAAACATCTATCCCAACCTTGTTATATATCAACACACTCTAAATCAATTACTGCTGAAATTCCTGTTCAAAAGCTGGGTTTTTACTTCACGTAAACTCAAATGTTACTCTTTATTGGAAGTTACGACCTTTTTTTCCCTCAAGAGCCTTTTGGATACTTATTACATTATTCAATGACCATATTCAATTTATTATCTTGAAAAACATGTCTGTCACGTTATGAACCCTTAAAAATCCTGTCTGTTCCCTCGTGGAAACTTCCCATTTTTTACATCATTGTGATTTAAAGTTCATTTATACTGTTTATGAGGGTTATGGTCAACAGTATTTTGATTATCATGTGCCTGGAGTTATAGTTTAATTAAAGAGGAAAAAGTGGCGCCATAAATCGATATTCTGCCTGGAGCATCACCAAAAATAGCCAAATATGAAAATCGATACTACTTGCTTAAAGGTAGATAACCCATGTTAGGTATTTTTTAAAAGGGGGAGGTAATTTACATAGGTACTGACACTAATAGAGGGGGACTGATTTAGCACTTGGGTGGATGTATAAGCACTATAGAAGGAAAATGACATCATAGAGTGGATATTTTTACCATATAAAGACATGAAAATTGATGGTTTGGGCGTCGCAAGAACAGAAAAGTTATGTGGTGCTAGCTAGTATGTGCTAGATGTCTGTGTCTAGAATTTATTGAATTTAGAGTCTTTCCTGTGATTGTCTTGGTAAGATTGCAGAAATGAATTATTTTGCAGCTCTCACAGTATGACCCTGGGAGTGTGATGTTTTCCAGGCCCTGCAATGCATACTGAGTATAGATGTGAGGCACTGGAAAGTGTAAATGTGAGACACTGGAAAGTCTAATCATTAAAAAGATCAACAATAAAAGAGGTCAGGCAAGCAAGAGATATCATGCTGACATGTTGCTGGACATTAGACCATGTCATGGTTGGAGTTTCAACAATAAAAAAAATTCTTCTGCACCTGCCCTTTAAAAAGGCACTTGGCATGTGTGTTGTAGTTAACAGCTAGGCTGTGATATCTGCAACTTTTAGCCCAACACATCGTCATCAGATTTTATTAGTTGCTTTTTCTACCACAGGCTTTGGTTGGGACTTTGGGTGCAGTTGGTACCATCCCCCACCCCTCCACTTAAACCCTTTGAATAATTTTATAAGTGCATGTTTTGTTATTCAGTATTGATTTTCAGTTATGCTTTTTGTTTGTGGGGGGGTGTCATGATTTTGCCTTTATACTTTGCTGTTTCTAATGTCTTTTTTTTTTTATTTAGTAGGAATATACTAAAGTTTCTGATTTTTCTTAAGTGTGAATAATATAGTTAGTTATATTCTACCATGATTTTATTAAAACGTTTTTTAAGTGCACTATGATTACACAGAGTTACTTTATTAGTGATTAGTTAAATTAGTAATAATAGGCCCCCATCATAACAAAGAAAAACTTTTACACCTAGTGACACACAAGTGTATTATTTTTACTATTTTACCGTTACTCAAACTGCAGCATAAATGTAATTGTGGTTAAGTTAGTATCAAATATCAATGTGTATACAGTATATTTATAACTATATTAAATTATAATTTTTAGATTTCAATTCAATATAAATAAATGTCTAAACACGGTAAATTAAAACCCATGCGGTGTCACCTATCACTCTACAACATATTGAAAACAAAATGTAGAAAGTACATAAACCTATTGAGTTGTAATAGTAGTAATAAACAAATGTAAATAAAGGTTTCATTCACTGATCCGAACTAGTATTATTATATTTTTTATTTTTTAAATTTGAACACAAATAAAAACAGAAAACCGTAACCATACACTCACTAAATGTACAGCTACAGTCGGCAGTCAACTAGTTTCATCACTTGCTATTCAGAATTTACGTATCATTCTGCCATGAGTCCCAACGTGGTGCGAACTAGCGTCCTTGTCTGAGGGCATGGAAAGTGAAAGCATCACGCTGGTCCCACCTCATCAACCTAACTAACTGCGATCTCACGTTTATAAATGCATAATACAATATCGAACTATCTTTATCTTGACCTACTATTTTACCGCCATTTCTCACAAACGCGCAGGTGGTGATCCACTAGTAAACACCGCGTGTTGCGTCAAATATGCTTGTTGAATTCCCCTCAGTAAGAATTTCCTGGTAAATATGACAAAGCCGAAAACACAGTTTGTGGAGATTGAACGCTTTACAAAGCCGTTGGAGCAGACGTCGACCATCGACTGCGATGCAGGGAGGAAATGAGCCAGCCAAGGGTTGACAGTCAGTCAGCAGCCGACAGCGGCGAACCTCCACGCTGGCTGCCCCGGAAAGTCACGGGATTCAGGGCTGCCGACGTTGGTATTTTTATACAAATTTGATGTAACTGTAGTAACGCACCTGATGAGATACAGCGAAATATGCCTGGCAATAAATTGTGCAATGTAATGTTTGTATCCGCATTATTTAAATTTGATACTATTTGACCTTCGATGACCAAAACTTTGCTTTTGGAATCACCCCGATGTTTCAGTACATTTAAGTTTTTTTCTCTGCTTTACATTATATTAAAAAGAATGTAAAATTCACTCTTCTTTAAAGATTACCATTGAGGGAATTAATAAGCTCAAAGTTATTAACATTAAAACATTATTAAAATTACGACAACTGGAAATCGTTTCAGCAGGTTTGTAACCAACTTTGCTGACAAAATTGATACAGTAATGATATTTACACTAATAATTTCAAATTTCATAAGGTAGGTCAGTTTTTTTATATATATATTATAGTTGTGAAAATGCATTAATGGTTTTATGATTAAAAATTGAACCTGTAATACCCTTTTCGTGTGTTTTGGTACCTTTTCGTAAAGAAATTTGTACGAATCCCAGTATATTTTCGATAGCCCTGACCAGCTGCGTCAGCGACGCCGTCGATAAAAATAGAACTTACGCAGTCGCAGTAAACGAAACGCAAAACAAAACACACACACGCACAAAGAGACCAACAATAATAAAAAACGCAATATGATGCTTCTAATAGTTTCTGTGAAATAATTGAGGAATAAGAATTTTAAAGATTGGTGTTGCTGGTTTTTTTTTTTTTTTTTATGACTGGAAGTTCCCGAATCACAAAAACTGTCCATACAGAAAGAGCGAAGTGGGGTCAACCATGAGGCAGACAAAGAAGACCGTTGAGAGATAATATTCAGGCAAACCTGCAAACACTGGGGTTAAGGGACCCTCAGTCGGCACAGTATTATTATTATTATTATTGTGCTGACTTGCAAATAAATATAAACATGTGCTTGAAATATTATGAAATGTTAAACGCATATTGTTAAAGAAAGTGTATATACAATACATGGTAAAAGTTGCTTAAAGAAGCTGCACGGCAACTGGGTCACAAATGTCTTGTGGTCTCAGTTCACGCTCGGTGGTAGGTAGAAAAGCCACATTTTCCCCAGATTTACAGTATCTATCATAGAATCAAGGTCGAAGCGGGGCGATATCCATAGTACCGAGTCAAAGGGTTTACAACTCATAGTTTTGTTTTTTGTTCGTTTTTTTTAGAAGAAAAAAAAAGCCCATAAAAAATTATTAGTGGTTTGAGTCAATGGTTGAGTCCCCGCCCCTAAACCATTTTGTGGTGGGGCGGCGCTCAAGGGAACTGATCCCCAGGTTCAGGGGCCTATGCCAAGTGAGGATCGTTTAGATGACTTGAGGGCTCGACGTGCTCAAGAAGAAGTTATTGAAGAGACATGACTGACTGACTTTCTACCCCACTAGGACATCACACAAGCGATAAACACCAGATTACACAAAGTGCCACCACGTGGGTGA